TACTGGGGGCTCTCTGCTTGCCCCCTTGCATCAGGCAGCACCACATACTCCAAAGATATTGCTAGAAAACCCACAAAGATGACTATCCACTGAAGAGTAACAGTCCAAACTATGTTGTGTGGCTGTCTGGTGACTTGGAGTGCTTATAACTATGTTTTAATGCTTCTTAATGTAATGAACACTTATTTATATAAATTTCTAATTATGTTTTGAATTAACTAACTATGAGTCTAGACTGTCCCATAACAATACATGGGGGCAATGAGTGGTAATGATGCATTATATTCTTTTATCTTGTTGCCTTTTAATCTTATGTAATGTTACTAGCTTTTTTACTACCATAAAGAGTTAACAAGAACAGCCAATTTAATTAATCTGCTCTACTTACTTTGTACACTGCTGTTTCTTTCTCAGCTGAGTGCAGGCTGACTACTCATTTGCACTAGAAATTACAAGTGAGTGAAGCAAGAACCTCTATGACTCATAAACTTTCCCAATCTCTTACATCAGTATCTCTTGTCAAAAGTTAAAGGCCACCAGCTGATGAAGACACTTTCAAAAAATATGGATGGATTAAGCGCTTTCCAAACCATCAGTTTCAGTATTATAAGGTCTGACTGCTTTGAATGACCCAGAAGCTTGCCCTAGCATGGGATCAGACCCACTGTTTTGGTTTGCTGCATCATATTTTATTGTCTGGTTTAAGAAACAGGTTCAGGATTTTTCATCTGGCAAGGCTGACTAGCTACAAATAGCCAATGCAACTTATTTCAGGGGAAAACCCCCACCAGTATTTCCACCCAAAGGCTGAGAGCTGTGCAAACAATACCACAGCCAACCTCTCATGAGCAAATCGTGCTCACAAACCTAGGAATGGCAGGTCACCCATGTCCTGCAATACACTCAAATGCAAAAACATATATAAAGGCAAAGCCACACTTCTCATAAATGGTGACCTCGGGGACAACCATGGGCTTGGCTGTGCCCTGATCCTCTCTGCCCCAGTCTGCCTGCAGGTGACATGCTGGGGTAAGGGATGGTCACCAGCACTGCACAAACTGTCCCTCTCCCCCCATACGCCTCTGGCCTCTCTGGGGCATCACTGGCACCACCACAATGGAACTCCAGCTGTTGTTCAGGTTCCTGCCTCTGAACAGGGCCCCTATGCCCCTCATAAAATATGGCCCTCCCACTAAAATATGGCCAGAACTCTCAGGTCCTTCTCTACTGGGACTTCTGGTTGTGCAGGCAGGACAGGGTCATTCGGACCAGCATCAGACTGGAAAATCTTGGGAATACTTCTGCTTCCATTCTCAAGACCAATGCATATTCAAATTGGGTGGAATGGGGTCAGAGAAGTAGTTTAAAGATTAAATCTATATTTCAGTGTCTACAGTTTGATCCTACAAGGAATCTCCAAGCTTGTTTTCTAGCTTGCAGGAGATTGTTTTCATGCTTGCTGCCCCCAAGGAACAAATATGCAAGCTAGAGAGCTAAGGTTTATGGGGAGAAGTTATATCTTTTATTAGACCAACTATTAGAGTTAGGGGGGAAAAATACACAAGCAAATAAGCCATTCTTTAGGTCTGAAACAGAGGATTTCAAGCTGCAGTAAAAGCATATTGGGAAGATATGCTCTGGGATTAAGTTATTATATTATCAATTAGATGATATGAGAGAAAAGGACAACTAGCACCTCTGGAGTAGCAAGGAGCCCCAGCATGGGGAGCCATGCAAGGGTCGCTCACTCCCAGCAGTGAGAGAAAGAGAGATAGATTGCTGGACATGAGTGAAAAGTTAGCAGGAGGGGAATAAAAATTACAAAAATGTCATAAAGCAACCCCTCTCTGGTTCTTATTGTGTGCCTATTACAAAAATATCAAAATAAGAGAAAACCGTACTTTTTCTTTTCTTTTTTGACTCTAGCATTCATGGACTGAATCAGTGAAAAAAATATTTACTTATGATCTGCAGATTAGCTTTTTTATCTTTTCTGCTTTGCCTAATACATTCAAAATCATCATGGACACCATCATAAAGAAGTCCAAAATATCTTTTAGTCTTTAATCCTGTTTATGGAAAATGAATGTCCCATTTTATTCTCCTCCATTACAAAGCAGAAATACACCAAATACACTCCTTGCCATTTCTAAACAGAAAGAACCCAGAACATCTTTGTGAATGTGAAATTATTGCTGAAATATTTGCTAAAATAGAAACTACTACATATCTCAGCAGACTGCCTCTATCCTGGATACCGGCTTTCTGCATCTTGACCTCTGGACGAAGAATAAAAATGTTTGGAAACACACAGAGCAGGCAAGAAAATTATTGTCTTGGATTACAGAAACTTTACCAAGTCTAACCTAAGGTAAGGATTAAACCTTGTTTTGTTTGATCCAGTGGACATTAAATGCCACTTTTCTGCTGACCCCAGCAACTTCCAGCTCAGACCCGTCACCTCGTTAAGACAATTCCACCATTTCTGTGTGTCTATGTGTCCAGCTGCTATGGGCAGAGCTGTCCATAACAAATGGCCTCAACCTGTACCCAACTCCCTTAGTTATAAGGTATATTCAAAGAAAATTAAAGACTGCATTTATTAAAACAGCTAACAAGGACTACAAAGAAAGTATAACATCAAGACGGAGCACGCTTTACCAGAAATATTTTGCCTCTGCTAACAGGCATCTGGTTCACAGAGAGCTAACTATTATTCTGATACACCTGAACTGACACTCCCCCTTGTTTTAATTTCTGCTCTAATTGTAAGGAGTTATTGGGTGCAATGTGCCCCATCCAGCTGCACCCTGAGACCCTCTTTCAGTGAGAGCCATCTCCTTTCACAGCAAGCACTGAGGATGCTGGTGGCTCTCTGACCTGCCCAGGCCCTGGGTTGGAGACAGTCGGGGCACTAGTACCTCTGTTCTCCACTCTCTTAATTGCTTAAGGCCAAATCACCTCTGCCCATCAAAATGCTTTAAAGGGAATGTTATTGAAGATCTAAAATGAGGCTGTATTTTGGTTAACATCACTTACCCTCCTCCAAAAGACAACATTTTCCTTGGCAGGTGATAAGCACCACCTCCCACATCCTACTGTAGATGCTGCTAATTAAACCACAGTGAAATTCAGATAATTAGCAACCTTTTCTAACACAGCAGGTTACTTATTCTAAACCTTTTTCTGGATGAAATGGTATTTGAGACATTTTTTTTAAATCTACTGTTTTCCATGCTCTCAAAATTATTTTCTATTCTAATAGGAAAAAAACGAACAACAAAACAGAACAAATCATATAGGATCCTGAAAGCAAGACAAGCATTCATCATCAGTATTTGTTAGCGTTTGCATTGTTTGACCATGTGAATACTGCAGAGTATTTTTAATCTCTCTAGCAAAGGCAGTCCCTCAGATTATAATGACATAGCATTTTTATTCCATTTTAAAAACAAAAGTAGATTTGTAAAACCAATTCAATGCCTACATACCTTTGGTGGATGATCTTTTTAATTTTCAGCAATATATTACATTAGCAACATTTAGTATGCAGCGAATTATCTAATACTTAAGCACACACTCCTGATCTTTCTGTAAAAGGAGATTTGTTTAGATTTAGGATTAATATAGGGATGGCATATTTACTGGCATGGAGTTATGCTTATCCCATTGGAAATCCTGCACATTCACTAAATTCTTCCCTTGCTCTGGTGCCTAGAACTTCTGCTCACCCACACATGTAAGGGGACTGCCCCACCTGCCCTCTCACTCCAAAATATTTATGTTATTGTTCAAAAAAGTGGCCACAGAGAATACAAAAACCTTCATTCTGTTTTTCCCCTGACCTGCAGACACAACTGTCCACTCCATCCCCTTCCTGTCACTCTCTGCCGTGTTCAGCAGGGTTGCTGAAAAGGATGCAAGCAGGGCAGGGTTTCCAGAGCTGCTCTGCTGAGGGACCACAGCTGACCCTTACTCATTACACTGCAATTCATCTGGGAACTGGGGAGTACAGTTACAACTTTTGCCCTCTGCTGCCTACAGCCTTCAAGCACCCCTAATTACTATTAGTCAACTGTTCTCCCCCTTCTACACACCTCTAATCACACTTCTCCCTCATCAAGCTGGGAGCTCTGCAGGAGTTAACCCTGAAAAATTTTACAGTAAAGGCAGCTTTTATTATAGTGGCGATTACAGAAAGAGAAAAAGCAATTTAGTCTTTTATGTGGCTCACAGTTTCATTAATGCCATACACTTTTAGCCACCTTGAGTTGTTATGCATTAACTCCAAAAGGCATGGTACACAAACACTGCTAAGATAAAAAATAACATAAGACAGGGCGAACTTGAACTCTTCAAATACAGTCTTAAGGCCTCAAATGTCAATAATGTTTTTACATAACACCTTTATTAGTGCCCTCATCTTTAGGCCAAAGTCACTATGAAGTAAACTGCTCAAACCAGAAAGAAAGGTTTAAACAATCTGCAAAGAATTCCTCACTCCTCCTGTGGTGCACCAGGGAACACTGCTCCTAGCACTTGCTGCACCTCCTGTCGTGTGATGACAAGAGGAACTTAAATAAGAGGCAACATGCTGCAGCAGTAGCACTTACACAGCAGCGTAAATCTCTCAATGCTACCTACACAGCCTGTGCTTCCCATCTGCTGGGAACAGTGACCAGGAAAACAGCAGCCATCTCAGCATTTCTCATGCACCTACTATGTTTCTGAATATTGGCCACCTCCTTCCCAGCTTCTTAGCAAGGGACTTCTTTAGCCACAGAGCAGAAAAGCCCACTGTACTCAGCCTTTCTGGAGCATCCCACACTAGCAGCCCATGGAGACTCACCACCTAACATTATCTAAGCATAACACTGCTTTCTTTTGCTGAACAACGACGCCTGTTATGGAAGGCCAAGAAGTGGCTGTGGGGCTTCCTGACCACAGCAGCTTCACGAAGTTATCAATGGTGGTCTGAGACAGCTGGTACTCACCACCCAGGAGACAAGCATCACACTGATGACATCTTTCATTCTGTTTGCCTTGGTGTCCAGTCGAATCAGCTGAGAAACAACAAAGACTCTCATTGCCATGGGACATCCCTGGTGGTCGGTGGTTCTCTAATCTGTTCAAAACAGATAGACTTCCATAATCTTGGTTTCTGCTGACATTGTGCAGCATTGCATGCCTCCAGCACTATCTTGTCCTGTTGGACATTACCATTCTTCTGGCATTAAAAATGTCATTCCCTTAAAGAACACTGTTCCTTCCTTCCCATCAGGTATGGATTGAAGATCTCCACACAAGTTGAGAGAGGTTTCTGGCATTCTGTTGATATTATAACCATGTTAGACAAAGTTCCTCTGAAGTGATTAGTATCATTTTATCTTTGGCCTGCAAAAAAACCACAGAGGATAGACTGAACTAAGAGTAATCACAGGATTCATTTTTCTTGAGGCTCATCCCCAAAATTCCAGAATTTGGAATTGTGTGTGAAGAGTCGCTGGTGTTGCAGTGCCCAGCATGTGAACAAATGCCAAGCACTTATACTGAGGCTTTCCAAGTATTTCTGGGCAGTGCAGTCACAAATAAAGAATTAATTTTATTACCCTGTGGGATCAGGATGTATGCGAACAACTTGCAAAGCAGTTCTCACTTATCACTTAACATGGTTACATAAACCCCATGTCATATTAAGGGCATGGCTACATGACTATGCTTCAAATAAAACTTGTACCCTATATCTATGTCTATAGGGTTTTCTACAAAAGATCATTCATGAAAGTTAAGTTAAATTGACTCAACTCATGACGATAATGCATGTGAGGTAAAATGCATTAAACTCCTGTGTGGACATTCTCACTGAGAGGTAAAGTGGCCTGACTTTACTGTAAAAGAGGATTATGGTACCATGAACTAAGGCCATTTTCCTTTTGAATGACATCATCTGCAGAGGACCTTAAAGCACTGTAGTTTTGGTTCACTTACTTCACACGTTTTCTTCATTTGTCTGAATTTTACTACAACTGAAACAAGCCTTGGTTAAACCAAAATCTCCCATACTGTGTTTCTGGCTGGTATTAAACAATATTACCAGTTTACGGGGTTTACAAATGTCCTCTAAAAAAACAGCTAAAGCTGTTTTACAAATAGCAGAACCAGAGCCATCTCTTTGTACTGCAGAGGAAAACAGCAGCAGCAGGCATAGAGCCTGGGACATCCAACAGGATCGCCTACATCAGTGCTCATACTAAGCTGTTGTTAATCTTTAAAAGCAAGCAAACAAAAAAACTTTAATTCAGTGTTACATTCCACCTGAAAACACATCCTTAGACATAAAAAGACAGACAAACAAGGCAGTCTTGTGGGACAAGGTTGTGATGGAAAGTAACTTTATCCTCTAGAAGCCTGAGCTGGGAAGGCACAGCCCTGGGGTACCCCTTGTCACTGAACAAAGGATATGTTTTTAGAGTTTAAATAAGATGCAGTCAGAAATTTACCCACCCCAGGCTCATAGATGAAATTCTAACTAATGAACAAGGAAGAGCAAATATTTTCTGAGTCTGATACTGACTGAGGTGTTAGTTTATCTGAATGATAAATTTTACACTTAAGTAAAAAGAAATTGATACAATTCACATGCCTGAGTATTGGCAGGTAATTGACATGTGGCAAACAGAAATGCATAGAAAATAAAGCAAAAACATATTAATCAAATATTCCTCTCAAACGCTAAATATCAGTTTGGCTTCAAATGTGTCAAGGAACAGAGAGTGCTAACTACAATACCAAACAAACAACTATTTTTTATAATATTGCCTTTATCCAGTTTTCTCCACTGCAGAGGCATATATCTGTAATACAGATTTTGCACTAATCTATCTATTGCTGTTCTTATAGATCTGAGCTACTAACATTGACAGTAGGAAAGTTTAAGAGAAATCTCACAGACAGATGTTGAGCTTCTGTACTTCATTTTTTATTATTTCTTTGCTGTTCCTCGACCTTGCCAAAAAGAACGAGAAAGGCTCTGCCTACCCAAACAGGGCGGTATCTGCCAGGCCCACTGCTGGCCTCACGCCTACAATCCAGATGTCAGCTACAGCAGCAGCTCCAAGCACCAGTGCAGAGGCAGCTGCTCTGCTGCCAGCAGTCCTGCGGGAGAGCTCTAAAAACTGCTGTTGCTTTGACTCCAAGCAGGTTACAATTGCTTCTTTTGTGCATCTCCAAATAGGCAGTGTCAAGACTAGGTTCATGTAGACTAGACTTTTGCACCACTTCACGGATGAAAACTTGGGATGGTTTATCTGATCTCTGTGATAGTACCATGATCTCCATCAGGTTAAATGAGAACCAAATCTTAGAAGAGTCTGGCATGAATTCAGCAAAAACAAATAGACTGGAAGCAAAATACACTGTATTGTTCATGGACTAGGGAATACAATACCCTCACATGTGCTAGTAGAATGTTTTAAAATTTCTCAATCATACCCCATAAAAAAAAAAAAAAAAAAAAAACAAAAAACAAACAGAAGATTCAGATAATTTTTCTTACAGGTGTCTCCTTCATCAATGCACAAGCCACCCCAGAAAGAGCACCCCTACAATTCCCTTAAATATAAGACCTTTCATACTAGCTTATAACACAGATTTTTACTTGTTTTTTACATCCAACATGCTGAAATTGCATCTTGCACTGCATTGTGTTAAATCATTATTTTATTATTTATAACTTACAGATTTATTTAATCCCTAGCTGAAAAATTTCATGTGTAATGAGTTTGTCGATCAAACTCCATTGGCCTGAATTTCCCAGCTCTGTCCCCCTGTGCCTCTGACCTGACTTGAACCTCCTCCCATGCCCACAGAGCCCCTCTGTGTCCCACCCCCCTGCAGCCAGTTATCCCAAGGGACAGTGCAAGACCTCTGCCAGCAAGGGGATGGCTCCTTCTCCAGGCTGGCCCTGCTGCTGGGGACACTGTAAGCCACAGGGGCTCTCATCCCCTTTACCCATCTCTCTCACTGTTTGCTGGCATGTCCCTTGAAACAGGACCAAGATGAGATGTTCAGCCTGAATCACCAAATGTACACGTGCCAGGTACTTCCGTCTGGCACAGCTTGAATATTCTGCATCACAGAGAAACATTACTTGAGGGCATGTGTGGCTGCAAGGGACCAGTCATTCAATACATATTTCTCCTGCAAAACTTTCTTCAGCATCTGCACTGCTCTATGATTATCTGAATGCCATTCAATCTATGTCTAACTTGAGTTGTCTAAGTATATTTGCATGTATATTGTAAGCATTATACTAAATGAGATGGGACTGCCTGTGTAATCATGCCATGACTTTCCCTTAGGGAAACCTGGTAAAATTATGTTCCATTACATTTGTAAAATACTACCCATTAAAAGCAGGAATAAAACTTTTATGTTCGTGTGAAACAAAGCAAAAAAATTCTCCACCCTTTAACTTGTATCAATTTTGATATGAAAGAAGCATTTTCCAGTCAAGGAGGGATTCTGAATTTGACTTCAGTATTATGCTCTTTTAGTTTTGATGGTTTGGACAGTTAAGCCTCTTTCCAGAACTCTCTTTTTTTCTTAATTTAAATTTAATATTATGAAACAACATAGAACAAAACCAGCTCATCTGCCTTGAGGAGGATAGACAGCAGCTTTGGAAAAACCTTTCTTGGTGAATTTTTCTTATTTATTATTGTCCATGCCATGAGAAAGAAAAACTGTTTCTACTGTACTATTCAGTGTCCTTTACTCTTGCTGCTGGTCAATTCATTGTTTTAATTCCTTGATGCTCTGGCAAACTTTCAAGTATGTCATGGGAGAATTTTAAAAATGAAGCATTCATTTAGAAGTCACACAGTGGTGATATATATACAGAGCTTCAATTTAAACCATTATTGCATACTATCCTTTTCCTTTTGTAATAATCCATTAAATGCTTTCAAGTATGGAGAAGGAATAGCAACCTGTAGATCTGAATGGAGCCCAGATGACCTATAAAATACATCCTGCCTCACTGCCTGACTAGTTCCAGCTCTCATCTCTAATGGTTGCTATTGTTATTCTACCATCCAGACAACCACACACATCAATTATACATTCTTCTGGGTCACAAATCCATTTTCTTATGTGACATTTTTGTCTTAATGCATGATGCTTTTTCTTCAACCTGTGAACAAAGTTGAAGGTCTCAATATTAAAAAAATACTACTTTTTTCTTAAACTGTGTTGATAATTGGAAAACAGCTTCATGAAAATCAGAAGATACAGCTTTTTGAACTATTTAGAAGTGTGTGTTTAGACTGTATATTGTATCTTTATTACACCAAATGTATTAGGCAGTATTTGTGTTGTAGGTGAACATTATTTCTTTTGTTATATTGGTGCCTGGCAGCACATCTATAATTAAGTGTCCTTTGCCTTCTATATTTTATGACACTTAAAATTCAGTCATCTTAATTGGACTTTCTTTAGCGTATAAATGGCTGGCTCAAGAAGCAAAACTTTTTTTCTGTGAAACAAAAGCAAAACCTACACTATAGACTATCTCTGTGAGTTTTTTAGAGTCTTTGACTTATGTTTGCCTTTTTCTTAAATTAACATGATGACAAAAGCTTCATATAATTCTATTTGAAGTAAGTCTAAGACAGCTCTCCAAATCAAATTTTTTGCAGATACTATTCTCAGAAACAAAGCACTCATTATTACACTTCCAAGGGGGGTAGTCATTTCACTTTCCTGGTTGACAAAATAAGTTAAATAGTTTGGGGAAGGTAACACATCACTTCGAAGGGACTGTCACATATCATGTATATCCTTAAAATATTTCTAGGGTTGAAAAGTTAAAGTACAGTTTTTAAAACTCAAGAGAATGAGAAAATTCAGGGTAACACTCCTGAAGCCTCCCCAGCATGACATGACACCTAGGCCTCAGCTTTGCCCAGCCACAGGAGTTTATGGTGCCCCAGCACCAGCCAGCATCATCATCAGGGCCTCACCAGTACTCCTGGGGGCTGGAGGAACATACCAAACTCAGGCTCACTCGCTGGGGCACAGACAACCTATCTCAAGGAGATTGCCTCCTGCTGCAGGATGCTTACACCAGAGATGCCATCTGAACAGCCCAACACCAGGTTCAAGACCAAGTCAATGGAACAAAGTCCTGCAACAAAACTGTTGTATTTTCATTTGAAAATACACACAGCCTTCCCAGCACAGAGGCAGTTTTGGTGTCTACAAGATTAGGCTCCTCTCCTACAGTCATGTATGGCACTGCAACAAAATCATGGTAGATTTAAGTGATGCAAACTGACCGACTGAAAATGGATATTTGAGATGGTCAGTGGATTTGCAGCTGGCTAAGTAACTCCATAAACAAAAGCACTGGGAAAACATCAATTCACTGGCAGGCACATGCACCTGCCAGACTAGAAGAAATCCACAGATAACTGCAGAGAACCAAAAACTGCTTTGTGTCTGTCTGTGTACACAGATGAACGTTCACATTCACACAAATACACATTCAAATACACACACACATACCAGTGGACACAAACCTGAACAGAGACCTGCTGGCTTTCCTCCTACTGTTCCCTCCATCCACAGGCAGCTTTCTCAGGATGGTGTTGCAGTCAGAAGCTTGTGCACACTCATCAGGACATGCTCTGCTCTGTCCCATTCTGGTCCAGGTGCATCCTCCTCCTATGCCCAGTGCCTGCTGACATCTTCATCAGGCAGGTCCAGCTGAATTTCCATGCACAAAGCAGCTCTTCTCTCTGGAGACCTATGACCAGAGGTGTGGCATCATCAGGTAAATGCTTTAAAAAAATATTTTCATGTTCTCTTCTTTCCTTTCTGAGGAAAAATAAACAAACAAACAAACAAAAAAAAAAAACCAAAAAAACAAAAAACAAAAACAAACAAAAAACCCCCACAACATTTCTGAAGTTGGCTTGCATGGAATATATTATCTTGACTCACTTGTCTTCTCATCCTGGTTCCTCCTTCCCCTTGTAGAACCTACTGAAGTAGTCACATCTCTCTAAGGATATCAATGTACAGTTTGGAAAGGGTTTTACACCATGTTCAAACATGTCCAGTTTTCAGGACAAGCCATTGCTCAGCATTAAACACCTGCATTTTCATGCTGCAAACTTCAAATGAGGGTCTTCACATGCTGGGGAAGAGGATGGTAGTGGAGCCGATTTCAGACAATTTATCACCACGCCATGAGCACCATGTTAATCCCAGTCTCTCAACCCTTCCACCCAATCTGTGCCTTCACTCACCACTCATCAGGCACATATTAAAAGAAAACTGTGTTATTATCCATGTGAGGGCAGAGGTAGCCTTACAAGAGAGCTGAAGTTGGAGGGGCAGCCATAGCTTTGCACTCCTGCATTTCACCTGGTCACTAGGTTTCAGGCCTTTAAAGCAGTCAGTAGGAACCATTTAGATGAATCCTATTCAGATCTATAAAAACTGAGGGATAAATATTATTTTAATATTGAGGTTTCTGGTTGGCTGGTTGGTTTGTTTGTTTGTGGAGGCAAGGGGGTGTGTTAGGTTTAACTTTATTATAACTAAGCCTATATAAATGCAAATACTGTTGCTGTATATATAATTTCATAAAGCAAAACTATGTACAATCTTTAGCAGTGAAATTCAAGTGGCAACTGTGACAAGCAAAGAAAAATGAATGCAGTTAACTTCAGCCATCCCTGCTCATCTGAAAGCTTGTGTCAGTTCCTAAATAAGCTTTTCATTTTCCTATTCAGTCTGCTGATCTTTGTTGATTTACAGCATGAATGAGCATGGCACATTGCAACTTGTAGAGTGTATTTTTCCTAAATAATAAAACATTTATTGCAGACCCATCAAGCCTGCTAGTAGCTTTGAATTATTATTGCAATGAAGTGCTGTGTTAACAACTCATTTACATTGTTGCAGAAGACTCTGTGTGAACACTATATGTAATTTAATCCCATTCAGGAGAGAGGACTCCCCAAAATATATCTAGAGCTGATAAATTACAATTTGATGATATTTTCTAATCAAGCTTTTCCCAAGATGAGTCTGGCTTCGAGTCCATCCCACCCCTCACCTTCCACAGTGTGCTGATCACAGATGAACAAATCATTTTCACATGGTCTTCTCCTCCTCAGCAAGCCCCAGCCCCAGGTCTTTCCTCTGGTGAAACAAGAAGGGGTAAGTATATTTAGTGGAGAGCTGCAAAGATCTTACTGTTTCAGGAATTAAAGAATTCTGGGGGTAGAGAGTGAGGTCAGTATTTTGGTGTCTGTTTGAGGGGTCTGACCTACAGCTTCAGTGTTGGCCCAGGGTGGATAACAGCCACTCAGCTGATGAGGCACAGGAAGCCCAAGCTGCCCGCAGAACATCAGTGTTGGGCTCAGGGGTTTTGGCAGTTGCTGTGCTTGGAAGGAGCCCCTGACAGCAGGGTAGTGTCTAGTGTGGCTACTCACCCCTGCTGCATGGTCCCAGAGAGAAGAGGAATATCACAGGAAGAGGTTTCTGCTGAAGCACTCACATGTTTTGGGTGGTAAAATAATAGTAATAAATCATATTAACAAATGAGGAGAAAAAAGTCCCCTGGGAAACACATAATTCTCCAAGTATCAATCAGAAATTATCCTGTCCTTGCATACTTGCATATGTTCCTAAAATTGGTTGGATACTACCGCAAAGCCTGTATTAGAGAGCCATAAATAAAAACAGATCAGCAAAACTTTCCTTTTCATAAAGTGAGATTCACTACGTGGATTTTAAAATTATATATAATGCTTGAGGAGGAGGAGTGATCCAAAATACTGGTGGTTTAATGGTGAGGATAACTCCGACTTCTTATACAGAGAAGCCTGCCTGAAGCAGTAACTTGTTTTTTAATTGGGTAAAACAAACTTGTTCGGAAGCAAAAATCATCAGTTATAAATGCACTGTAAGACAATACCCAATTGATCTCTCTGTTTTCTCTCTCACAAAATATGGGTTCAGGTTTACAATCCAAGCCTATGTCACTAACATACAGAGGCAAGAGGTTTCCTCTCAGCCATGCTCTTCCATTATAGATCTGGCAACCCACACAGGCTTGGTGTCAACTTTAACATCACAGGTCCTCAGCTGCTTTGAATACTTAAGGATGAAGGTTATTAAGCACTCACCACTAGATTTGTGTCTCTTTAGTCAGAGGCTATAGTGAGCATAACTCTTCTTTCTAACAGCATCTCCTCAGCATGGACAATATACTGCAAAACCCACCTTTGCATGAGCATTCTGCATACTTTGCAGCCATTGCCCCAAGGCTGCAGTGAGGCCAGTGCCCATGCAGCAGAGGGAAGGAGAGGCTGTCCAGCACACAGGGGACATACCATGATTGCCTCTGAAGGTGGTGTTCTGGTGTCGGAGAGGGCACAAGACACACCACCCCCACAACGAGCAGTAGGGCTGCTGCCACGCTGCCCTGCTGCTCTTCCACAGCTAGCTGTGGACAAGTGCTGCTGGTGCAGCCACAGTGCCATGCCAAGACTACCACAATGCCCTCAAACCAGGCTTAGTCACCCCAAATATGATGTATATGGACCCCTGGGGACATACTGATGTACATAGGATACCCAAGTTATGACTATTTTTTGCACTGTGATATCCAGGTTTTGTTAGACATCCACAAGCCAAAGCACAAGCTATTGCTCCTGGGCTTGTGATTTATTTATATAAGACTAAGAAAATAATGTTTCAACAGTATTGTTTCTAGTTCTTAACATTTAGTTCTGCTATTCATGAGAAATGTGTCCTTTCCTGAACATCATTTAATTTAAACTGTGTCCAATGAGTCCAAATTCTTCCTGCATAATCTTCCATTTCTATCTAATAAGTTGCTAGAGGCAACATGTTGCTAACTTTTTAAGCTCTTTTAGGTACTGTCAGTTCTCCAAATTTTGACCAAGTCTTGCCTAACAAGTGCTTTGTACCATATCATTAGCCAACCAGTCCTTTGCTGAGATTATTCATTAATAATTTGATTTCCTCAAGTCTTTTTTTAAGACATTTCAAGGTAGGTGAACTTCTTAGCATGCTAAAGCATTACTGTAATTTTCTGAGACCGCTTATAGTAGAGGGCAGAATTTTACTTCCTATCTACTAGTTTCACTTGCAAAAACTTTGCTTTTCCACCTGAAGAGAAAATGATAGTTTCCTCTGTAGTGTTCCAGGATGAATACTTACTTTATTCACCTGAAAAAGCCTCCTACTTCAGCTCTGTTTCAGTCTGTTTCCAGAGGCTTACTCTAAACCAGCAACATGCATACTTTTATCTTAAACTAAACAAGCCAGAGCTTCTCTCCTACAAACAGTTGCCTCATTCAGTCCAGTGACAGGAGCTAGATGTTGCAGGCACACACACCGCTTCCAAGACACACTTACCTGTTCTCCTAACAAGCATCAGTGAGAGAGAACAAAGAGGCCATAGGAAAGCAGTAGCCATGTGATAAGAACTGCTATATCTGTCCCATTAGAGAAATACTCCTGCATGCAAAATCACATTGCTATTATTCAGCTAAAGTTGTATGGCTGAAAAATACAACCATAAGACCCCTATCCTCCCAGTAAATGACATTTAATGTGTTAATCTAACATGGTTTCAATGTCCCTTCCACATGAATACACTTATTCTGCTTTATTTCTAATAAATTACCCAGTTAGAAAAATTACTTGAACAGTAAAGCACAAATAAATGAGTATTATTGTTTGCTGGTTGACTAGATAAGGAGTTAAACATCTAGAGGTGAAGTGGAGGACAATTAATATACTAGCCTGCTCAATTATCATACAATGCCCACTTCTCAGGGAATTAGAGCTATTATGATCTACTCCTGTGAATAAATGAGAATTTCAGGTCTCAGAGGGTAATACAATAGTTTTGGAAGTAATCTTTTTATAAAATTGTGGCTTTATCAGTTATGTTTTAGAGTCAGTATAAACACTTGTGCATCATAGGATAAGAGCTTCAAGACAGGCTTGTAATTTTAATTTTTGTTCTCATATTGGTTTAGTTCACTCTTCCTATGATCTTATTCTAGAAACTAAAGGAAAAATTACTTTGCTTTTTCAGGTCTTCTCCTTTCATAAAATGTTAACAGAAAAGTAATATTCAAATAAAAATATAAATACAAATTATGCATAAATTGTTTTCCATTGCAACAGAACACCCACTGAAAGTAGTCCCGATGACACTCAATGGTGCTGAAACATTGAAGCTGTGTTTGAGTTACCCTCCAAAGACAAGGAAAAGTAAAAGGACATTTCTTTTTAAATTGCATGTGATCTGCTAAGGCATTTGTTTGTATTCAATTTTATATAAGACTATTATTTCTTGGACATTTTGACCCAAATTCTTTGAATCTTTATCAACAGAAGTGCTGATTTTCTCTACACCTGCCAAGTTTCAGAGTTTCATAGTCATCCTCCCAGCAGACAGAACAAACCTAAATATATGGGAGTTTTAAAGCAGCCTGACCACAAAAGAAAGCTTTAGGAGACCCAAATAGTGGACCATATGTGATATCAAATGGGCAAGCCATTAGCATCAGCTGTGAACATATTGTACCAACTGGGAACGAAAATAAAACATTCAACTACCAACTGTTATAATCTGTAAATAGTCAAACCAATTCCTCTGGGTTCCAAAAATATATGAATAGTGTAACTCACTGGAGCCCTATTGTGCTGTTCATAGGTAATCAGCAGATTTGCTCCTAGGGGGAAAAAAAAAAAAAAAACAAAAAAAAAAAAAAAAAAAAAAAAAACAAAAAAAAAAAAAAAAAAAACAAAAAAAAAAAAACCACACACCACAAACACAAAACCAAACAAAACTGGGTTTAGTGAGATCTGATATCAGAGACAGTCTTTGTATGTTAAAAGACTCCTGGGCTTTTTGAAACTATATCTAAAGATTGCACATTAAGGATAACAAAATAGAGAATTCTTTTGAAGCAACTTTTCTCTATAAAATGTGCAGCACCAAAAAAAAAAAAAAATCCCCATTGCAAATTATGTTGAGAAACTGGCAGAATACTAGAAAATTTATAGAGGGCACCAAACTGCTGAGAATTCATTGTACAGCTGGCAAGTGCACTCCTACCTACTAGTTGCTTCACATTTAATAATGCATGTTATGAACAGATGGATAGAATGTCAATAAGGTTCTCCGTATCATCAGTGGTAATGAAATACTGGACTTTGAATGCTTAATAGCACAGAAAACAAAAAGCCGCGGGGAAATTTGTCAATGTCATGCATGCAATACTTTAGCAGTGCTTTAACACTGTTAGTGTGAGGCCATATGTTTCTTCTAACAGGATCTACTGTAGCCGGGTGCCAAAAAAAGTTTGACACTTTTTTTTTTTTAACTCTTACAACATGTTAAGAGCAAATACCCTGCAAATCAGTCAAGCAGAGTAGTCAGCAGAAGTGTAATATGATTACTCTTTTTATTCCATTTCTCAATGAAAAGAAGCTAAGGCAAACTTGCTAGTAAACGTTGTTCTTTATACCTGTTTTAGAAATACAGTGGAAAGTAATCTCTTTAAAATTAAATACAGAAATAAAGGCATGGAATTGTCTGTATTAGGCAGTAAATTTCACTGTCAAGAGTTGTGGAAGATGTGAATCTGGAAAATATTGCAAGCATAAGTAAAGCAGAAAGTATATATAGCAATGTATAGAAATTAGACACACAAAAAGGAATAAAATAAAAAAATCTCTTACACAAATGTCAGCTAAAATATATAGGGAAAATGCTTTGGAATAAACAAAAGGGAGAGAATAGCAGAAAGCTGCCATTCTGAGACACGCAGACCTGGGAATAAGCACACGAGGCAGAGGCTTTCCCTGTGAAATGGATGGAGAAACAGCAGCCTGGTAGGTAGTAGCATCTACAAAGGCTACAAGGGCACCCAGAGTGGCATTCCCAACCTGCACACTTCTTGTGGAAACACTGTGCTTAAAACTTCAGAAGGTGGCAGATGGATGTGGCAGGTAAGCCTCTGTGAAACATGGAAATCTCAAGTTCAGCAATACAGCTGGAATCCTAAGCATCGCGTGTCAGCAGAAATCAATGAGCGTTTAACTATTGATTCTGGGAGAACAATTAGACAAGCATTGGGTGTCAGT